TGTGTGTGTGTGTGAGCAGCCCAGTCACAGCAGCACTGTCCCCTCACCCCAGGCAGGAGGAGCAGTACCCAGCCCAGCCATCTCCACCACCTCCAGCTGCTGTTCTGGAGAACCTGGGCCAGGCAGTGTGGGTGGCAGGCAACACCATACTGCTCCACCTCCCTGCTGGACTGTGCCCCGTGCCCCTGCCTGCCTGCCTCTACTTGCAGCAGCACCACTGACTGGGGGGGTGGGAGGAGGCACCAGAATACAAGTTCACCCAAGTCACCATTTTCCCTAAGACCAGCTCTGCCTCAACCCCAAATGTAAAAGTTTTACATTCAGAAACAATGGTCCCATTTTCTTTTACCTTTGCTCTGGGTCTCTCCTTTGCATTCCCAGCCCTTGTAATTAGTTATCAGTTTGTTATCGAGTTACCCTCTGTAAATACTCATGGCCTATCCCCTCTTCTGTACACAGTGCACACATACTCATTCCCATTCCAGGAATTTGCTTTTATTCTGCTATTTCAGAAACCTGTGAAGTGTTAACCTTGGCCCCACATTACTCCCAAGCTAGTTCTTACCAAATAATCACTATGCATCATTATGACTCTCTTTGTACCTCCAAGATGCATCTGACCACCAGGGACAGTCAGCTAAATAACTCTGCACCTACATAGGCAATGTCCTAAAACAGAGGTCTCAGAGAGATGTGAGCTGGATTTGTGCTGAGGAGCAGTTTCCCCTGTCCTGTGGGATTCCTTCAAGCACTGGGAATTTGGGATTATGGTGAACAGCAGCGGGAATTGAGGGTGCATATTGGCAACAGCAGAGTAAGCAATGGCTGCATTAATCCTACATTAACAACCACTGCTTGCTCTCCCCCATTTCCACCGGGTTTAGATCTAGCCTATGATAAGCCCCATGATTCAGATCCACCCCAAAAGGTCCAGACGAGTTGGACACCCCTGCTCTAACCCTAGCTAGTATGCCACATCTGTCTACATCGAGTTAAACACTTTGGAACTGCTACTTCATCTTAAAAGATCTCCAAAACACCATAAGTTGTCCAATTTCTGATCCACTGGGAGCTAACATTTTCATTCATGTCTTTCTTGCTGGCTACATTTTTTTTTTTTGTGAGCAGACAAAATGGAAAGAACACGTTCTTAATGCAAAAAGTATATATTTTGTTTTAATACAAAACTGAACACTACTATTACCAATTTTACAGTAATACAACTCCCATGATATGTAACAAATCCCCTTTTCATTTTCTATTTTATAATTTATTTTTCATGGTATAGAAACTCATTTATGGACGATGATTTAACCATTTGTGGCCACATGCAGCCTGTAGGCCACCATTTGGGCAGCCCTGATACATGTTGAATGCTGCTCTTATTGGCAACACACACAGCTATTAAAAGTCAGCTTTTTCCACAAAACTGGTGCTTTTGACAAAAAAAGTAGTCGTGTTGAAAATAAAGATTCTGAATGTTTGAATGCTTTGCCTTCATTCATTTTATGCCTTCCTCTCTTTACAGTGCAAGGGGTGAGGGCAGGAAGTAACAGAGAAAGTGAGAAAACTCACCAAACTTCCACCACAGCTCTTGATCTATATTTTTGGACTCTGCTGCTCTCACATGGACTTCTGATATGGTAAGCAAGAATACAAGGGAGGGAAACTCCAACTCACACTTTGTTAAAGACTCCCCTCTGCCCTGCAGCTAGAAAATGTGGATGCAAATTCTTCCCTGTCTCTGGGCCTTGTTACATGTTATACTGTGAGCTGCTCAAATGTTGATGGGGGGTTCTAGCACCAGGTCCAATTTTGAGCAGCCAAACAGCCAGGCCAAAATATACCTGGAGGACTGAATGGTAAGAATCCCCCTGCCTCTTATTCTAGGCTCCCTCCTTCCCCCATCCCCCAAGTTTTTCTCCCTTCCTGCCACTTATGGCTACCTGTGCTATCTATCCCAGGGGAGCAGGTAGGGAAGGGGCAACCTACCCACCCAGCCCTCCCCACCACCACCACTGCTGTTCCCTTGCTGCTCTTCTCCAGGCTGAGCCCAACCCTGAGACAGCAGCTGGGTAGGCAAGGTAATCTTTCCCTGCCTGCTTCCCTGGGACAGACAGCATGAGCAGTCACAAGTAAGGCGAGGGAAAGGAGGGCAGGAGGCAGTGAGTGGGGATCTGGGGTGCTGAGGAGGGCTGGCGGGCAGCAGTGGCCCTGATCCAGGCCAGCAGAATGGTGGGGCAGGTGGGGTGTTCACATAAAAATGCACCCAGCTGGGGTTTGGGGTTACTGTGATGGAACTGCTCGGTGTTAGAGTAGCCCCTACAACAGGGGCGGGCAATTATTTCAGGTGGAGGGCCGCTTACTAAGTTTTGGCAAGCCATTAAGGGCCACATGACAGGCAGCCAGGGGCAGATTAATATTAAATTTTCTGCCTTTTTTAGGGGCCCTGCAGGCTGGATAGAATGGCCTGGCAGGCCACATCTGGCCCGTGGGCCACATCTTGCCCACCCCATAGCCTAGAAAGTGCTACCAGGACCAAACTCCAGAGAAGGGTAAGTCTGGGGTGCCCTAAAACCCCAGCCCCCCCATCTTGTGGGTTATCCCTTGGCAGGGAAAGGCTAGGGGGGCTGACCCCAAAATAAAAAGTAAGGACAGGGCCAAATGGTTAACCAGAGTAGACAGCTACACTAGGTTCCCTCTGGAAACTTCTCTCTGGTGGATCCAGCTATTTATCAGAAATGCTCTTTTCCCTGGCTGTGAAGGTAGAAGGCAAGAGCTGTGTGGATGGTGTAGGGCATCAGTTTGGGTGCAGCAGGACCTGATGACCATCCACTGCATCCAGATGTCTCAACACTGTTGTGTCACTGGATTCAGACAGACCTGGACAAGAGATTGTGGATGACTCTACGCAACTTTCCCTCACTTAAATCCAACTCATGTTGAAGTCAGGACATCATCTATATCCCCCCCCCATAGGACACACTCAAGTCCTGTGGCAATGGGCAAATAGCAAAGCAGCAGGTATGGATACACTGGGAACTGTAGCTGCAGACATGCTCACAGGTGGCTCAGGGCATAGATTTGCTTTTCATTGGACCAAAGCAGCCCCCTGGGTGACTAAGCAGCCCTTTTTAGGATCACACGGCTCACCTCCATAGCATAAGGGATTTCATGCTCAGGGGCAACCAACACGGGTTCATCAGTGGCAGGTCCTGTCAGACCAGCCTGGTGGCCTTCTATGATCAGATAACCAAATCATTAGATGCAGGGGTAGCAGTGGACATAGTCTTCATGGACTTTCAGAAGGCCTTCGACACTCTCTCTCACCCTGTTCTCATTAAGAAACTGGGGGACTGTGGTGTTGACAACCACACAGTCAATTGGGTCACCAACTGGCTGGAGGGCCGCACCCAAAGAGTGGTGGTGGATGGGTCATTTTCAGCCTGGAGGGATGTGGGCAGTGGGGTTCCACAGGGCTCGGTCCTCGGGCCCACACTGTTCAACATCTTCATCAGCGACTTGGACCAGGGGGTAAAAAGCACTCTGTTCAAATTTTCTGATGGCACTAAGATCTGGGGGGATGTAGGCACTCTAGAAGGGAGCAATAGGCTAGAGTCGGACCTATACAGGTTACAGGGGTGGGCGGATGAGAACAGGATGGGATTCAACACTGACAAGTGCAAAGTGATGCACCTGGGGAGGAAGAACCGGCACCATACCTACAGGTTGGGGAACTCCCTTCTTGTCAGTACAGAGGCAGAAAAGGATCTTGGAGTCATCAT